TGGAAGTTAAAGTCTATATAGCTTAAAGTTGCTGAGGTTGAGAAACATTGGGTTAGTGATAGTGTCTATCCATATTGTGACTTTTCTCCTTGTGGTGAGATGATGGCAAACCAATTGAATAAACAAAATAAATACTCTTTATATCAGATGCAATTTTCCTGGACTTAGTTTATTGGGACATGTTTGCAACCCAGAAACAGATTTTTCAAATCATCTTCATTTAACGACTCCATAATCCCTTTTGGGGTGGAGTCTTGGCAATTGAATGGAGCTAGCAGAGTCTTTTAATGTCCGGATGCCCTTCCTGTCACCAATGCGGAATTTTGTTCAGCAGATATATTCTCACTGTGCCCAGAGGGAGAAATATGTGTCTCTACCTAGGATCGAACTCACAGCCTCCTGATTGTGAGGCAAGAGCTCCACCTCTAGGCCATCGCACCACTCCTAGAGATTTTTCAAATGATCCAAAAATATTTCATGAAGTCAAAGTCTTTCTCAAATTTACTTAGTTAGCTTCTGAGTAAGGTCATGCAAAGCACATATCCTGGCTACTAATCCAACTCTCTTTCTGTAGTTTGTATAGTACATTAAATGCTAAAATGATGAAATAATGTGTGCTCCCCCAATTCAGTAAACCACAAAACAATGTATAAAAATCAAACTGAGTATCCAAGTCTGGGATGTTGTACCAATGCAGCTGTTTGAATTGTTATTGGCAGGTAACATATTAGCATGACTTCATTAGCATGAGTTCACCTATGAAATGAAAACATTTACTGCATATTCCCAGAACAGATTTTACCCAAGAGACATGCCTATTAAAGAACCAATCCTTTCTAATATGAAGAAGGAATTCATTTTTATTGTAGATTATTGGAGAAGTGATATATATTATTATATGAGTATAGAGATAATACCTTTCTTTCCTTTGTAGGCAGCACTTGGTGATGAAGGTTTAATGCATTTAATGGTAAGCCCTTAATTTAGCAGCTCCAGTATAAATTTTGAAATATATGCAGCTTATATATTTAGGAGGATAGTTAACTTTTATGATTAAAGCTATGATACTCATTCTTAGAAAATTGTTGCCTCCAGCCATTCCCAAGTTTGGGAAGGTTAAGTGGGGCTGTGTTCAGTACTTAAATAAGGGGTTAAGGATTCAGGGTGGTCTAAATACTTTTGGGACTTTTAACTGTCCAGAAAAATCCTCTGAATTTGAGCTGATGTTCTTGTAGCATTTACAGAATGCTACAGAATTATAGAAATGAGATGCTTTTGTGGGATTCCAATATCCCCTTTTGTTCATATGGCTACATTGAAAATCAAGTAGAGTATGTATAGGTAGAAACACAAATCTGCATATTTCACAATGAATATATTTTCATATTTGAAATTATCTGGAGGAAGAAAAGCAGAGATGATAAAAGAGAGAGGGAGTAAGTGTAATAGAATTAAAAAACAATAATATTCCATCATAATGATGTTGTATTTCTATAGGTGTTATTAACTACAGTAAATCCATATTTTAAAATCTACAGTATTAAGGTGACCAACCATCCTCCTTTAGGGAGGACAGTCTTTCTTTTGTAAGTTCTGTCCTCCCTCAAAAAGTGTCCTCCTACACGTCCTCCTCTTTGATATTTGAAGACTAATCTGTAAATCTCCGTATTTGATCAATGCCGATTCGATCCATTGTATGTGATGTGATGTATTTGTATTTGACATGATGATTCATCAAGGCTCGGTACAGTGCGGCGAGACATGATTAAGAGACGTATGTGCTCCACACAGGAGAATTGTTTAGAGAGAATGTGCTGCACGCAAGAGTGCGCCATGCACAAGTGGCTTTTTTTTCCTTCAATTTATTTGTGTCCTCCTTTTTATTGTAAAAAGTTGGTCACCTTAACAGTATATATATAAAAGCAAAATACCACACACACATCACCACAAAATCTCCAGAACTGTAAAGCCTACAAATTTGAAATTTGGCACGTATGTTCCTCTTGGCTTCTAGATGCTCACGAAGAAAGGATTTTTCAAAATGACCATCAGAGCATTAGTATTTTCTATATTATTATTAACACGCTCTGATGATAAGGAGTTCTACTCCCCCTCCCCACCTGAAAAAAAATCTGTTCCAAATACAAAACACAAGCAGAGGAGAGGAGTTTCAGTTTTACTTTCACAGCAGCAACCAGCTTTAGTACAGAACAGTTGAGCTAAGCCACACCCAGGCTCCTTGCTGTCTCCTTCTTGCTCACACAGCAAATACTGTTTCAGTTTCCAAACAGCCCTCAACTCTCTCACTGACAGGATGCTAGCCAGATGAATATCGATGGATGCTGGTAGGCAGAGGCAGAATTCCCACCCACCCCTATTTCCCTCCCCCCAAACTAAGTGCGATCACATAGTTTCGTAGCGAAACACAGGTATAGAGCTAGTATTGACATATAGTGCAATATTCTCAAAAGTTGTTATCCCCAATGCCATGTTTAGTAAAGCTACTGTTTTCTAAGCAATCATTTTGTATGCTGATGAATAGAGTACAACCATTATTCCTTAGGATTCTTGATGCATATTATACTTCCATGAATATGGAAAAAGATAAAGAAAACAAAAAAGAAATATCAGAATACCGTTAATTCAAATTTGTTTTTTAGACTAAGCACTTTTTATTCTAATAAGAAAACATCTGTTTCCTAAGTTTCCTCAAGGAGCAATTCATGTACACAATATGGTAATAATGACACAGATGGAAACCTTCTGGGTACCTTCCATTAGAATAGGATTTGACATTCTTGTTTTCATTCTAGAATAATTTGGATGAAAAATATTTGACTCTAGCAATGGTAAGTAGCTCTTCCTTCATACTGTGTCTTTGTTTTGAGTAATATAGTTCTTGCCTGCAATGAAGCATCCACAGGTTATAACACCACTCATCGCAAACCAAAACTCACTTTATTTGATTGTATATGTGGATAAGGCCTTTTTAGAACTGCCTCCAAAGGACAGTTTTACATTGAGGAAGAGATAATTTCTTTATATTCGTGTAATTTATTGGTGGAACTCAACTGTGTGACCCAGATACAGTTTTGTTGGTAAGATGATGTCAGGATTCCAGCAATCGCTGTAATTAAAACATGATTCTCGAGCCAAACCTCACCAAACTTCAAAGGATTTATTAGAGGCGAAACACTGACACTGCCTGTATGAAGACAACTCTGACATTTTAGTTACAATCTTTTAAAGATAAGAGTTGGAATGTACTTTCTCTTTCAAACTGGTCTTCCAGATTTCCTTCCTCCCCGCCCCACCCCCTTTTATGACAACTACTAAAACAGGCATAGGAATGTTTTATGAGTTGACATCATCCCCCTTTGCAGAATCTGTTTTACCAGGCAGTGCTGTGGAAGCTAGAAACAGGAATTGTTCAAATGATACAAAACAACTCTGAACATTCACTAAGTCACCAGTCATAAGTCCAGGACGACAAATATGGAATGTAGTGATTTAATGCCAGGTTCCCAATCAGCTTAAACCCCAGCTGCTCTTTCTATTAAATATCTGCTCAACGGACTTTTTATTTTTTTGGTCAGAAAGCACCTTATCTTTTGAGGCATGAATTAGTATTCAAGTATTATTCCATTGGATTTCTCTGTGCATAATTCCATTGTATGAAAGTGGAAGAATATTGAAAAGAGAATGCAATAAAAGTGTTTCAGAACACAAATCACCCATCTGTGCCTTTCTGGCCCTCCCCATCCCTGTTCCGATAAGAAATGAGTATATCTCATGTATAGAATGAAGCCCTCTGTGCATATGACATCGGAGATGATAGAAATGATGTGGCTACGTTTTTTTTTTTTTAAATTTCAAAGGTTTGTATAGCTGCCCATCCTATGCTTGCAGAACCTGGTTGCAGAAGTCATACGTGATGTTATGTCAGAATAGAGATAATAGCTTTTGCTTCCTCTGCAGGAGTGCATGGAGAAGAAGTGTTCATTTGCAGAATTATCAGTGAGTACCTCTTTGCTCTTCCTATGACTTTCCTTGTGAAATATTCTTCCTGTATGTGATCAGGTACCCCTTTAGCGATTCCACTTCCACCCTCAGCAATCATCCCCATTGTGCCCGGAGAATGAAGGGTTAGTGCTGATAAAGCAGCCTCGGGCACTGCTTTACCCATTAAAAATATACCAACTGCCTGCACTCTGGTAGAGCAAAGTGCCCTGAAGTGAGGCGGGGCTAATGAAATTACATTATGACAGCAGTTTGGACCAGGAACTCCGTTGCTAAGCAATGGAGTCATAAAGCAGGAGGTACATAATCATATTGCTTAACAACAGCAGTTCTTTTTGTTGTCCTTAAACAAGGACCATTAAGAAATAACCTCATATGATTGCAACTTCTGATTTCCTGCCAGCTTTCCCATTGACGTTCCTTATGGGACACCAGCAGGGAATGTCAGAAATCACTACTATTGACTCTGTTTGTTTTCATATAGCTCAAGACAGCATCTCTTTTTGTCACACTATCCTATCCTATCCTATCCCATCCTATCCTACGCTACACTACACTACACTACACTACACTACACTACACTTTTTGAAATTGTATCTCTTGTGGACCAACTGTGATAGGGCAAGTATACAGTATTTGTTCTTCACTGTGGCCTTGCACTGATGATATTCTAATAGGGCAGGGGTGTCAAACTCACATCATCACATCATTGTCACATGATGTATCAGAACTTTTTTCCCCTTTGCTAAACCGGAGGTGGGGGTGGCCAGCACATGATGCATCTATGAGTTTGACACCCCTATAATAGGGTATTGAAATTTCTGCAATCACGCAACCAACCAAGAACTCCACGGGGTCTATCTAGGACTTTTTACCCAGAAATTGTCTTGCAACCCATGATCAGAATATCCCATAAATTATGATAGACGTGCTAAATCCTGAGACACCTAACAGATTCATACCAACTGCCCAAACACTCTGGGAGTCAAACAGCACATAAGTGTAATAAATTATCATATCATTATCATTGTACAAAACAATGTGAAATCACAGTTGCCAGTTCTGTTTTTAATTTTTTTATTTTTTTTAAACAAACATATGTAGACAAAACATAAAACCATCTTCAATTACATACAGTGTATTGGTTGGTTACAAGTCTTTTGTGCATCATTTCCACAGTCTTTACTTATATTTTATATAACTACAGTTGCCAGTTCTTTAGCTGGTTTTGGCAATGTTATTATTATCGTTGTTTGTACAGATTTTCAAGTTGGAATCTTATCACCTTTTCCTATCTAGTCTTCCTTTTTTTGGTCATTGTCCACTTTATGCTTCTCCCTACATTTTAGTTCTTGTAGCAACTTAGTAGAACAAGAGAAAAGGAGGAAATATTGGTGGAGGAGCAGAAGGTACCTATTTCATGTATTAATAATCATGTTTATACTTATATATATTATCAAATGCAATAACCAAATAAATAAGGTGGAAAGGTGAGCGATGTGAAACTGAATTGGAAAGTAGCTTATCATGACACGGAACTCTTATGCACATTGAGCAAAGAGAGTTTTTATTCCCTTGTTGGTTTGCATAGCTTACAGTACTAGATCCTCTAGGTGTCAGGATTCCAGTTTAATTAAATTAAATCATGAGTCTCGAGCCAAACTTGTCCAGGCTTGTTCTAAAAAAATGAACCAGCATCCACTCAGGCAAAAGGGGTAGTTTCCAACTAATTCTCCTGAATTCACAGATCTCTTCCTTGATGGGTTGCCCTGCCTGTTTTAGCATGAAGTCAAATCAGTTGAAGTATTGAACAGACTTATTTGGGTGATAGTTTTCGCTGGGTCCTAAGGGCTTCCAGCAGGTGGCTCCAGGTTTGCAGTGTCCATCTCATCCCGAAAGCCTCTTTTTCCCATGCAGCCCTTCACTTACTTCTCTGTGTCTGTGAGCTTGCGGGAGGTGTAGATGCAGGGCTGTAGGCTTCCTTGGTTGTTTCTTTGGAGTAACACTGCTCCCACTGCCACGTCACTGGCATCTGCTTGAATGAGTTGACACTAGGTTTCAGTGCTGATTTACAATATGATAAAATCCTTGAGCAGCTTTAAAGTTTTGAGCTGTTTCTTCATTCAAGATGAAGAATGTTTCTTGACAACTTTGACTTTGTTGTCCTTGTCCTTTAAAGAGTATAATGAAGGCTTTGGATCAGTGGTGGGATTCAAATTTTTTTACTACTGGCTCTGTGGGCATGGCAGGGGAAGGATACTCTAAAATCTCCCGGCAGAGGTAGTATTTGCCGGTTCTCCAAACTACTCAAAATATCCGCTACCAGTTCTCCAGAACTGGTCAGAACCTGCTCAATACCACCTCTGCTTTGGATGAGATGTCAAGCTTCTGCTACTAAATCCATCTTTGGTGATGTGAGGACATTCACATCTCCCTGGCTCTCAAGGGCTCACCAGTGTAGGTTAATAGATTTCAGTGGTCCGGGCAAGGCCCACACAGATGTTTATATCATGCCCTGGTACAATGTGGTTTATGAAGGAGTCAAGAAAAAAAAATAATGCCTTTTCTCTTTCCTCGTAGGACATGATACCTAGTGTGATAAACTGTATGAAGACATTTAATGGTGGTAAAGCATTGTGTGACTTGGTTGTAAGTACATACATCTTTTATGTTATCCTCCTTAAATGTAACCACAGTAGCTCTCTCGAGCCTCTCTCCCTTCAAAGGATCTACAGACATTTCATCTGTGATGGTATAATTATAATTATCTTCTTTTAATTACCCCATAATCCCTTGCAGGGGGTGGAGTCTGGGCAACTGAGTAGAGTGTTTAATGGTTGGATGCCTTCCTGTCGCCAGTGCGAAGTTTTGTTCAGCAGATATAATCTCAGTGTGCCCAGAGAGAGAAATATCTGCCTCCTGATTGTGAGGCGAGAGCTCCACCTCTAGGCCACTACACCACTCCTTGTGATGGCATAGTTATATTTAGTGATATTTATTTTGCCAGAACAGAACTGAGCTTCTTTGTTTCCTTTGTAGAAAGCATTCGTCCCAGAGGGTCCTATAGCCACTATGGTAGTAAGTATCTTTGATTTATTTTCTTCCGTTTCTTTCTTCAATATTCTTCTTGCCTTTGAATAAGCATCTCTTATATTTTTCTTCACCCAACACTTAAAGCATCTTCAGAGAAACATTGGTCTAGTAGTAGTTTTTGTCCCTACTCCTTATGGCAAGATGGGCAGAAAACAAACTTAATAAATGAAATAAATATTTCCTGCATCAAATGCAATTTTGCCGGTAAGATAGATTTCCTCACCTCCTTTTCAGGATTTATTTGATTGGGACATCTGGCAAACCCAGAAAGAGAGATTTTTCAAATGATCCAAACTATTTCATAAATCCAAAGTTTACTTACTTAGCTACTTAGTATTATTAATGGAAATCATATATCCTGGCTACTAATTCAATCTTCTTTCTATAGTTTGCATAATACATTAAATGCTAAAATGGTGAAATAACCCAACTCAATAAACCACACAACGATATATAAAAATCTAATCCAGATTATAAATATCCAAGTTTCATATGTTGTATCAATTCAGCTACTGGGATTTTTATTGACATGGTTAGGTAAAAAGCCTAACTCTAGGTTCACATATGAAATGAAGGTCTGCAGTGCCTATTCCCAGAAGAGCTTTAACTCAAAAAGACATGTACTGTATATTAAAAGACCTCTCTGAAACCTTCTTTTGTGTTCATGCATACATTCTACATAAACGTTTTGATTTAGGTTTCTCTGTGCATCTTGTGGTTGTGTGAATATGGAAAAATATTGAAAAGAGAAAGAAAAGGGGCCGCAGAATTCTATTAATTAATTAATTAATTTTTGGTCCCAAATCACTTCCTGCTGTAATAAGTAATATATGTTTTCTATTTGAGGAATTAAAATTTTTTTTTATGATACATAAAATGGCAGAAATAATACAGTTGGAATTCATATACGGTGTCATATGAGAATAGAGTTGATGCCATTTATTTATTTCTATTGTAGAATCAAATGAAGGAGGAAGATTTGATCGAAATGATAGTAAGTACTCTGATCATCTTCTATCTTTTCTATATGAAATATCTTTCTTGCATGTGACGAAGCAGACTTTTTTGGATTCTACTCCAAGACCACCAAAATTTAGTATTTCTATACAAAGCAGTGAGATACAGTATACCCTTGTTATATACTTAGGAGGACAGTTATTTTATGATGAAAGCTATGATGGTCATCTCATTCTTTAAAAAGAATGAGTCAAGCACTCTAAACCTTGATGGATAGGAGTGGGTTGAATAAGGCTTTAGAATTCAGGGTGGCCTAAATCTTGTGGAACCTTTTTCTGACTAGCAAATGCTCTGAATCTAAGATGATATTCTGGTAGGAGTTGAAAGAGGAAATAAAATACTCTTATGAGATTTCAATAGTCCTTTTTCTTGACATAGATACACTGAAAATGAAGTAGAGCATATATAGGTAGAGACACAAATCTGCATATTTAATATATGTCCACATTTGAATTTAGTTGGAGAGAAGGAGGCAGATGGCATACAAGAGAGAGGCATTATGTGAAGCTGTTGGAATAGAGTATTCATATATTTTTGAACAACTACATCAGTATTCAGCACACAGACACACACATACACACACACACACACGTGTGCGTGTGTATGCACGCATGCGTGTGCACACCCACTGTCTGTTCTGTAGGGCTATATATAGAATTTCTAACAAGCGGAGTAAAAAAAAAACCCATTCCATTACAAGGATGTCTTACATGTATAGGTGAAATGAATCTAGTGTAGTGGTGGCTAACCTTTTTGGGCTCCTGTGCCAAAAATTATGCGCACGCTTTCATGTGTGTACTCACGTGCCAGCACCCAGAAGGCAATGCACGCCCCCTCACGCCCCCTACACATGCACATGTAATACTCTCACCCGCTGCCTCCTTACCTGCACCGCGCCTCACAGCTGATTTTCAGCCGGTTTGAGGCCTTTTTTGGTCTCCCAAAGGCTTGAGGAAGGCTTCTGGAGGCTTTGCAGGCTGGAAACTAGCCCTGTTTCATCACTTCCGGTATTTTTGGAAAAACAGCAAGTAGCAAAATGGGGCTAGTTTTTGGCCTGCGAAACCTGCAGAAGTCTTTCTCAAGCCTTTGGGAGGCTGAAAAAGGCCTCAAACTGGCCTAAAATCAGCTGTGAGTCGTGTGCAGGCCCAGTGAGGTAAGTTTGCCTGCAGCTCGCATGCCGGCACAAGTGGCTCTGCGTGCCACTTGTGGCATGTGTGCCATAGGTTCTCCATCACGGATCTAGTGAATCTAGATTTAGGTATAAAATATGGACATCTAGGACAATATTTTCAAATAAGTGTTGACCCGCAAATGCCATGGCTGTTAAAGCTCCTCTTTTCTTAGCAATCATCTTATCTGTTCATGCATAGATACAAGCCTTATTGTTGAGTTTTTTCAATGTACATTTTGATTCTGTGAATGTGGAAGAAAACTGCAAAAAAGAAAGGAAATGAAAATAGGAAAAAAATGCTTTGGATTAAGCACTCCCTGATGTGATAAGACATGTGCATTTTCTAAGGGGTGTGTGTTGGGGGGTGGCAAAAAAAAAAGAAATTTGTGCATATGATATATTAAGATGGAAGTAGTTGAATGGATAGAGAGATCCTGGATGTTTTCATGTCAGAATATAATTTGATGTGCTTCTTTCCATTGCAGAATTCTTTGGACGCAGATGACCTTAACATATTAATGGTTAGTAGCTCTTTCTTCATTTTCTGACTTTGTGTTGAGTGATATTCTTATTGCATTCAATGAAGTATCTCTTTTGTGATTCTACACCTCCCAGAAAGCATCTCCAGAGTCCCCAGAGCATAAACAGAACCAAAACATTTCATCTACTTCACTTTAGCTTTCTAAAACAAATTATTTATTTAAGAAAAAGACCAATTGCCAAATTGGGGTGATGTTTGCCCAACAGGATTTTGCCTCCCCCAGCAACCCCCTGAATACCACCCCTGACTGGGCCTCAGGGAAGCCTCCTACGTGAAGGCAAAGCAGTACAACAGCAATTTAGATTAACTAGAAAGCAAGAAACCCGACAATTTCCTGCTTTCTAGCTAATCTACATTGCATGGCACAGCTGATAGTCAGAACAGCTGATCATCGGGGAGAAAAAAAAGGAAAAATACAACTTACCAAAAATTAGGCGAAGGCACAATGCAGGCAAGTTGGATGGTGTGCATGCAAGATAAGGAGTGACTGGGGGGGTAGGGAGGGGCAGTTGGGGAGGGGAGGGGTCAACCAGTGGTCCGATTTGCCAGTTCTCCAAACTGCACAGAATTGTAGCAACCGGTGCTATAGAATCCCATCCCTGGATGTAAGTAGATAGATACTTGCAGGTTTTTTGTTATGATATCATGCCACGAATATCATGATTTCAGTATCATCATAAGTCACTGATGATCTACCTTTCAGGAGCACAGTACTACAGTATGTACTAGCACACCATTCCATTTACCATAATATGCTCTATGGTTCCTCAAGGCCCATATTTTTAAACCTTTTTAAACCTGATTCTCTGTAGAATCATCTCATCTGATAATAATCACTTTTACATCTTCCTGACTTGCTCACGATCCAACTTGATTTGGATCACAGTCACATTCTGTTACATCATTCTGTTTTTTGGAAAAAGGGAATGTAATGAAGTGTTTCAGAACATAATTCATCCATGTCAGTTCCTGTTCTGTTAAGAAAAGTGTGTAACTCATTTGTAGAATGAAGCAATTTGCACATATGACATCAAACGTGGTAGTGGTGGCATTCTTAGAGAAATCATGTGTGACAACATTTCAAAATGAAAGTTATACCTTTTGTTTCCCTTGCAGAAAATGAGCTCAAGTCCACCTAATTTTATTGAATTAATGGTAAGTAGATTTTGTTCATATTGTACCCTTTGTTGGAGTAAGAGTCTTCTTGCATGCAATAAAACATCCCTTTTGTTATTCCATATCTCCCAGAAAACATCTTCAGAGCCTCCAGAGCAGAAACAATCCACTTTCTTTTTAAAACCAACTTATAATGTCTTCTATAACCCTACACCAACTTCCAAATTGGAGTGATGGTACCCCTAAACAGCAAAAGAAGAAGCTTGTATTTTGGACTGTCTCCAAGGGACACTTTTTGAATGGGGAGGGTTTCTCCAAAATAACTTTTCCCTGCTTGTGGTTTTTCTCCCCACAAAATGGTAAACTGTTGGCTTAGATGGTCCTTCTGTCAGTTCCAATTTTGCTAGTAATGTGTCTTTCCTCATTTGCCTTTCCAGAATTAATTTTTATCAGAATACAGTATATTTTGGAAAACCAGCTTGACTTTGTTGTCCTTGAAAAAGAATGGTGAAGGTTTGGATAGGCTTTCAAGATTCTGTTGATATACCCATCAACATTATAGTGGTTTTCCTGAATATCTGCCCATAGCTTTCCTTGACTTTTACTTATCTCAAAAGGTTGATGTGGCTTTATGTGTCTACTCTGGTGATATGAGGCCTTTCATATCAATATTAACCTGGAACTAAGGAGAAATTTTCTGACAGTGAGAACAATCAACCAATGGAACAGAAGTTGCCTTTGGAAGTTGTGGGAGCTTCATCACTTGAGACTTTCAATAAGAGATTGGACTGCCATATGTCAGAAATGGTGTAGGGTTTCCTGCTTGGGTGGGGGATTGGACTAGATGACCTACAAGATCCCTTCCAACTCTGTTAATCTGTTAATATTTTTTGTGACTTTCAAGGGATCATTATTTTGTTTTAATGAACTGTGGTGGCTCAGGCAAAACCCACACAGATGCTTATATCATGCATTAGCATAACTTACAAAGGAATCCATAAAGAGGATATTTTTTGTTTTCCTTATAGAAAGTCGGACAAAAGATAGCACCTTTTCTGATGAGAACTAATGGTGGCAGTATGAGTAGTCTGATTGTAAGTAGATATGCACTTACCTTC